GCCTACTATTTCTGAAGATGTGCATCATGTGCAAAACGGCTGAAGGTGCTAGGCTACCAATTCTACCCTTCTGACCGCAGCACTGGATTCCATGCCCTCAGCTTCAGCTCGGAGAGCACAAACGTTGAAGTGGAATCCACGCATGGGTGTGCTGTGCTGCTTCAGCCGGTCGCAGGGCACGGCGAGGCGAGGAAGGAAGGGAGGGAGGGGTGGGAAGATACCCTGTGGAGCTGGTGGATGATACCCGCCAACACCCGGGGTTTAATTTGGGCTTTAGAAACTTCCAGTGCGCGGCAGTTTGGTCTGAAACATCTGCTGGAGAGCGCATCCCTTAGGGTTGGGTTGGCCTGAACTTGGAAGCTTCAACTGTTTCGCTTCCTCAGGGTGCTTCTTTGTCCTTGCTGCGATTTCGTTCATGTTTTAGCAGCAATCACCGGGTGGATTTGGTTTCTCTGTCTGGTTTGCATTGTTGCTTTCTCCGGGGCGTTTAGCGGCAGGCGCGATGTCGGGGTTCCATCTGCCGAGCAACTATGGCATGCAGGGGATGCTCAAGGAGGGGCACAAGCTGATCTCCGGGTTGGAGGAGGCGGTGTTAAAGAACATCGAGGCTTGCCAGCAGGTGTCGAAGATCGCGTCGAGCTCGTTGGGGCCGAATGGCATGAACAAGATGGTGATCAACCACTTGGACAAGCTGTTCGTGACAAACGACGCGGGGACCATTCTGCAGGAGCTGGAGGTGCAGCACCCCGCGGCCAAGGTTTTGGTGCTGGCAGCGAAGGCGCAGCAGGAGGAGATTGGCGATGCAGCGAATCTGGTGGTGTCTTTTGCTGGGGAGCTTCTGGGCGGCGCAGAGCAGCTCATCCGGACCGGGTTGCATCCCAGCGAGATTGTGACGGGTTACGCGAAGGCCAGCCTCAAGTGTTTGGAGATCTTGGAGAAGGAGCTGGTGGTGCCCGGGTCGGATACCATGGACGTGCGCAACCCCGAGGAGGTGGTGCATCGGATGAAGTCCGCGGTTGCGAGCAAACAGTATGGCCAGGAAAGCATTCTGTGCCCTTTGATTGCCGATGCTTGCATCCAGGTGTGTCCGAAGAATCCGATGAACTTCAACGTCGACAATGTCCGCGTTGCGAAAATTCTGGGAGGAGGGATCCATGATTCTCAGGTTGTGCGGGGCATGGTTCTGAAGAGCGAGTCTGTGGGCACCATCAAGAAAGCTCAGAACGCGAAGGTGGCCGTTTTTGGAGGTGGCGTGGACACGGCTGCGACGGAGACGAAAGGAACCGTGCTCATCAACAGCGGCGCCGAGCTGGAAAACTACGCTAAGACCGAGGAGGCTAAAGTTGAGGAGTTAATAAAATCCATAGCAGCTTCGGGTGCCACAGTTATTGTCAGCGGTGGTGCTGTTGGCGAGATGGCTCTGCATTTTTGTGAGCGTTATAAGTTGATGGTGGTGAAGATCGCTTCCAAGTTTGAGCTACGTCGTTTTTGTCGCACTACGGGTGCAGTATCTCTGGTTAAACTGCAGCAGCCAACCCCGGACGAGTTAGGGTTTGCAGACTCTGTCGTTGTGGAAGAGCTCGGAGGCACCAGGGTTACCGTTGTTAAGAACGAAACGGGTGGGAACCTGGTTGCAACGTTAGTGATCCGCGGAAGCACGGACAGCTTGTTGGATGACGTGGAGCGAGCAGTCGATGATGGTGTGAACTCGTACAAGGCCATGTGCCGGGACAGTAAGTTAGTGCCTGGAGCTGGTGCGACGGAGATCGAGTTGGCCAAGAGATTGAAGGAATACGGTGCCATGGAGGCAGGCCTCGTTCAATATGCGATCGACAAGTATGCCGACAGTCTGGAAGTTGTCCCTCGCATTCTTGCTGAGAACGCAGGTCTCAATTCCACCGACGTGATTTCTTCTCTGTACGCTGCGCATGCGGCCAATCGAACCAGCGCTGGTGTAGACATTGAAACCGGGTCCATAGTGGACCAGGATCATGAGGCCGGGGTGTGGGATCTACTAACTCCCAAGTATTGGGCATTGAAGCTAGCCACAGATGCCGCCTGCACGGTGCTTCGGGTAGACCAAATCATCATGGCCAAGCAGGCAGGAGGACCCAAGCCCAGGGCCGGCGACGGAGGAGACGAGGACTAGAAATTGGAGGGGATGAAGACGGTTGCCTTATTAGCGCAAGCATGGGGTCCAAGGAGTTAATGATGCTTAGCACGTTTCTGTAGATCCTTAAGGTTTCAGTTGAAAACCTTGGCCGGAGGACCCTTTTAGTTCTATGTCTGCTTGGTCGTATCGCCACCTTCTCATGGAAGGGTGAAGTCCCACGCTTTATTTTTTGGGTGCATGCCGGCAGACGGGAGTAGCTACAACCTCTAGTTTTGATGTTCTAACAAGACGACATGCGAGGTGCACCTTGAAAAGTGACAAAATGGGGTTGATTTGAGTAGGCCATACATTTTTCCACCTGGAGGGCAGTTTTGTCCAAAGAAGTTCTTTAAGAATGTACGTGTTTCATGTATGTAGTTCGTTCTTCTTGCTTACCAGTGGCGTCATCTGTGGAGCTACTTCCTACGAATCTGTGATGCCGAGAGATGTTCTGAGAATTTTGTTGGGTTGTTGGCGTTTGTGTAGAGGTTCTGATCTCTACAACCTATCATTCTTGTTCGTATCTGGCTTCATCTGCATTGGGACACTGGCAGGTTTTGAGAGGGCCCGGGCTGCGAGGCATTACCAGTTTTGTTTTTCTGCACAGAGTGGGTGTCGGTCAAAGCAAACATTACATGAGATTTTCCTTCGCTGGAAAGATGTCAGCCTCAAACCAGCCCTTGCCCCTTTCATGAGCGTGTGCTGACCGGTTTACTGGGACCCGATTAGTTTTGCAATTGTACAAAGTGGTGGATCATGTTTAATTTGTATTAATCTTTAAAGTTGTCACCCAAGAAAGAAATATGGTTGCTGGTTTTAGTATACACCGTCAAAGTCATAGATCTTTTCTGACTTGTCAAACACCAAGTCTTTGCCCTCTAATTTCTTGCACTTTTGTTGGAGGTATAATTCATGCCAAACCTCTAGAGAATATTGTTGTCCTAGAACTTGTAAAGAATTAAGTGGATAAACCATGCCAAAATATAAATATTGTTTGTTTGTTCCCTTTTAACAATGGAGTGTTTCAACAACTAATTCCATGGAACAGTATAAGAAATAAATTCACGATTAAAATAGAAATAAAACCAAAAATACAAAATAAAATTTAGTAATCTAAATATTTACAAACTTGCCTAGATTCCTAATAATAGCACAATAATTTGGATAAAAACAAAAAAAACAGAACAAAATAAATATTAAAGAAAAAGCAACAGTGCATAATGTAGGCAAATACATTCTTCAGAAAAAAACATATCAGATGAAATAAACCAGGTCAACTATCCATACTCATTCTGACACCTACACAACGGACTATTGTTCCGCCTTTCTTCGCCAACTGTACAATTGCAAAACTAATCGGGTCCCAGTAAACCGGTCAGCACACGCTCATGAAAGGGGCAAGGGCTGGTTTGAGGCTGACATCTTTCCAGCGAAGGAAAATCTCATGTAATGTTTGCTTTGACCGACACCCACTCTGTGCAGAAAAACAAAACTGGTAATGCCTCGCAGCCCGGGCCCTCTCAAAACCTGCCAGTGTCCCAATGCAGATGAAGCCAGATACGAACAAGAATGATAGGTTGTAGAGATCAGAACCTCTACACAAACGCCAACAACCCAACAAAATTCTCAGAACATCTCTCGGCATCACAGATTCGTAGGAAGTAGCTCCACAGATGACGCCACTGGTAAGCAAGAAGAACGAACTACATACATGAAACACGTACATTCTTAAAGAACTTCTTTGGACAAAACTGCCCTCCAGGTGGAAAAATGTATGGCCTACTCAAATCAACCCCATTTTGTCACTTTTCAAGGTGCACCTCGCATGTCGTCTTGTTAGAACATCAAAACTAGAGGTTGTAGCTACTCCCGTCTGCCGGCATGCACCCAAAAAATAAAGCGTGGGACTTCACCCTTCCATGAGAAGGTGGCGATACGACCAAGCAGACATAGAACTAAAAGGGTCCTCCGGCCAAGGTTTTCAACTGAAACCTTAAGGATCTACAGAAACGTGCTAAGCATCATTAACTCCTTGGACCCCATGCTTGCGCTAATAAGGCAACCGTCTTCATCCCCTCCAATTTCTAGTCCTCGTCTCCTCCGTCGCCGGCCCTGGGCTTGGGTCCTCCTGCCTGCTTGGCCATGATGATTTGGTCTACCCGAAGCACCGTGCAGGCGGCATCTGTGGCTAGCTTCAATGCCCAATACTTGGGAGTTAGTAGATCCCACACCCCGGCCTCATGATCCTGGTCCACTATGGACCCGGTTTCAATGTCTACACCAGCGCTGGTTCGATTGGCCGCATGCGCAGCGTACAGAGAAGAAATCACGTCGGTGGAATTGAGACCTGCGTTCTCAGCAAGAATGCGAGGGACAACTTCCAGACTGTCGGCATACTTGTCGATCGCATATTGAACGAGGCCTGCCTCCATGGCACCGTATTCCTTCAATCTCTTGGCCAACTCGATCTCCGTCGCACCAGCTCCAGGCACTAACTTACTGTCCCGGCACATGGCCTTGTACGAGTTCACACCATCATCGACTGCTCGCTCCACGTCATCCAACAAGCTGTCCGTGCTTCCGCGGATCACTAACGTTGCAACCAGGTTCCCACCCGTTTCGTTCTTAACAACGGTAACCCTGGTGCCTCCGAGCTCTTCCACAACGACAGAGTCTGCAAACCCTAACTCGTCCGGGGTTGGCTGCTGCAGTTTAACCAGAGATACTGCACCCGTAGTGCGACAAAAACGACGTAGCTCAAACTTGGAAGCGATCTTCACCACCATCAACTTATAACGCTCACAAAAATGCAGAGCCATCTCGCCAACAGCACCACCGCTGACAATAACTGTGGCACCCGAAGCTGCTATGGATTTTATTAACTCCTCAACTTTAGCCTCCTCGGTCTTAGCGTAGTTTTCCAGCTCGGCGCCGCTGTTGATGAGCACGGTTCCTTTCGTCTCCGTCGCAGCCGTGTCCACGCCACCTCCAAAAACGGCCACCTTCGCGTTCTGAGCTTTCTTGATGGTGCCCACAGACTCGCTCTTCAGAACCATGCCCCGCACAACCTGAGAATCATGGATCCCTCCTCCCAGAATTTTCGCAACGCGGACATTGTCGACGTTGAAGTTCATCGGATTCTTCGGACACACCTGGATGCAAGCATCGGCAATCAAAGGGCACAGAATGCTTTCCTGGCCATACTGTTTGCTCGCAACCGCGGACTTCATCCGATGCACCACCTCCTCGGGGTTGCGCACGTCCATGGTATCCGACCCGGGCACCACCAGCTCCTTCTCCAAGATCTCCAAACACTTGAGGCTGGCCTTCGCGTAACCCGTCACAATCTCGCTGGGATGCAACCCGGTCCGGATGAGCTGCTCTGCGCCGCCCAGAAGCTCCCCAGCAAAAGACACCACCAGATTCGCTGCATCGCCAATCTCCTCCTGCTGCGCCTTCGCTGCCAGCACCAAAACCTTGGCCGCGGGGTGCTGCACCTCCAGCTCCTGCAGAATGGTCCCCGCGTCGTTTGTCACGAACAGCTTGTCCAAGTGGTTGATCACCATCTTGTTCATGCCATTCGGCCCCAACGAGCTCGACGCGATCTTCGACACCTGCTGGCAAGCCTCGATGTTCTTTAACACCGCCTCCTCCAACCCGGAGATCAGCTTGTGCCCCTCCTTGAGCATCCCCTGCATGCCATAGTTGCTCGGCAGATGGAACCCCGACATCGCGCCTGCCGCTAAACGCCCCGGAGAAAGCAACAATGCAAACCAGACAGAGAAACCAAATCCACCCGGTGATTGCTGCTAAAACATGAACGAAATCGCAGCAAGGACAAAGAAGCACCCTGAGGAAGCGAAACAGTTGAAGCTTCCAAGTTCAGGCCAACCCAACCCTAAGGGATGCGCTCTCCAGCAGATGTTTCAGACCAAACTGCCGCGCACTGGAAGTTTCTAAAGCCCAAATTAAACCCCGGGTGTTGGCGGGTATCATCCACCAGCTCCACAGGGTATCTTCCCACCCCTCCCTCCCTTCCTTCCTCGCCTCGCCGTGCCCTGCGACCGGCTGAAGCAGCACAGCACACCCATGCGTGGATTCCACTTCAACGTTTGTGCTCTCCGAGCTGAAGCTGAGGGCATGGAATCCAGTGCTGCGGTCAGAAGGGTAGAATTGGTAGCCTAGCACCTTCAGCCGTTTTGCACATGATGCACATCTTCAGAAATAGTAGGCACTAGGGTTTTTGTGTATGTTTTTGTGCACACTTGATGCCAAAAATTGGATTGTCGTAGTATTTCGTTCAAAGGTACGTAAGTCATGCCAACATATTCATTAGTGGCGATTTAGTGTTTAGGGGTTTTTAGGGAGCTGAAGTTCATTCATTAAATGGTATCATTGCAAGTACATCATTGTCATGGTGGCATTGAAGTACATGCTGAACATAGTTGGTACTTAGAATATAAGCAACTAGAAACTATTTGTGTATTCTTATTTATATAAATTTTGAATGTGCATTTTTTTGGTTTTGTATTTTATAGAGAGTTCAATATGAGGTTAAATTAAAGGATTGTTGATATAGGAAAATATAAAAATTTATGAACAAAAAGCAAGCAAAAAAGGTGAATAAAGTGAATGCCAAGCAAAAAAGTTCAAGATTGGAGGAATGACATGATAGGAAGTTTGAGCATCATACAAGTGGCTTGATCTGGACCTTACATGGTTGCCAAATGGAAGTAAAATGTTTTATATTTGGTAAATCTATAATTTGGCAAGAATCAAAACAAAAAAAGAAAATAAGAAGGAAAGAAGTTAATTGATGTGGTAGATTTTCTAACTATGGTATTAATGGTGTTAAGAGAATTGAAAAAGACTAAATACATAGTTGTCATTAGATTGTTTGAAGTGTAGATTGAAGTTTTGAATTAGATAAAAAAAACACAAGCATTTAAGAGATAGGAAATTTTTATATTTATATTTATATTTATTTTATTTTTAAATTAATATAAATTTTTGGATTTCAAAATTGTTCATTGAGAATTTGTTGTATGCAAATGAGGTGTTCTTATAATGAAGTATATGGATACAACTCATGTTACATGTATGTTCTAAGTTGTTCTATGCATACTCTAATTTTTAATATGCACACCTTAGAAAAGTAGAGTTTTTGTAATTAGATGGTTTGCAAATTTGACCAACAATTGTCAAGGAGAAAGGGAGGAGGTCTAGAACTTGGTTTGGGATTGCTCTAGGATTGGGATCTCCACCAAGTGAATGAATAAGGGAAGGAAGTTCAAGACTTGTGCCATAACTTGGATCTACGTCAATACAAGAAATAAGAGAAGAAAGTCTATAATTGGCTTCAAGATTGGAAATTGCATTGAAAAAAAGAAGATGGAAAGGAAGTTGTCTTTAAATCCTTTTGTAAGCGATTTAAAATAAAACAACCAATTAAAAGCCTTGGATGTCCATATAGACATAATTGATGTGCATATAGAAATTTGAAGTGTATATATAGCTTGATTCTATGGATATTAGTATAATATTAAAAAAAACTTGTAATCAAGCTATCTTAAAAATGGTGGATATTAGAAAATTTTAAATATTATAAAAAAATTAAATATCATAATTGATAAGTATATATATTTTTAAAAATATATTTTAATAATAAGGTTTAGGATATTAAATTAATAAAATAAAAAATATATTAAATAAAAAATATATTAAATAAAAAATAAAGTAAATTTATATGATTCATTTTATCATATATTAGTATTGATTTTTTTATTATATTCATGATCTATTATGTTATAAAATATTCTTATTGGAGATTTTTAATGTTATGTATCCATGTTTTATTAATTTATGTATAATATTAAATATGACGAGCAAATATAAATTTAAGATAAATTTTTCTTTAATAGTATTTTTATAATTATAAAAAGATATCATCTTTATTTTTTTTATTTTACAGTACTTGTGTTGTCATTTTATATTCTAAAATATTATTAACTTTGTAATTTTATAGATAGTTTTTGATAGATTTTTTTTAATCCTATAAATAATATTTCTAAATCATATTTTTAATCATATTTTGAAATTAACATTAATGAACTTTTCTATTATTATTTTTTGATTGATACTTGTCTAAGCTTTATTAATTTTTTAATTTTTTACATCTTTTTTAGTTTTCTATAGAAAAATAAATCCTATTTTTATATTATTATATTTAATAGTTCATATATTAGTTTTGTAAAAAAAATTAGAATGATAGAATTATAAAGAAATTAAAAAATTATAGTAATATTATTTTGAATTAAGCTAAAAATGACATAAAGATATTACTTTCAAAAATTAGTTGATGCTTTTAAAAAATCTTTTTAAAATCTTAATTTATTATGTAACTATAAATCAAAATATATATTATGAAATTAAAGATAAAGTTAAACATGGAAAAAAATTAAATATTATATATATTTATATATATATATATATATTAATATCGATTTTTGTATTTAGATCTCCATGTTAATTTTTATTTACATGTTTTTAAATCATCCTTAAAATCATGGATGTGATAGATTTATCAATGTGTAGTTTTGTAAGAAATGAAAGGTTTTAAATTGAAAGACTAGAATCTTTTTATGGAAATTTTCATAATTTTTTTTTAATAGAACTGTGTATCTAATACCTTATATGGTAAAGTTCTTAAATCAATGTGAAAAAGAATCAATTTCAATCTGTAATAATGTTTGCAAAATTTTGATATGGTCATTGATTCTCTTCATAAAAAGTATGTGTGTTTCAATCACTTTCGTTATAAATATTACTAATTAATTTATAATTGAATTGAAGTATATTTTTGTATTATTAAAAATAATTTTTAGCACTTAGAAAATGTATTGAATTTCAAGTTATAATTAGATGCCAAAATAAAAATGTAGAATAATTTATCTGGAATTTGAACTAATTATTTGAAGAATTAAGTTGTTACTTTAACTCTCTTAAGTCCAATGCAGAAATATTTTGTAAAAAATAAAATTACCAAATTTATAAAGATTATTAAAATCTTTATTATAAAAAAAGAACATGTCATAATTAATTATGTGCTTATTTTTTATTTTAAATGATTATTTGATATGTACATAAAATACTAATGTTTGCTATATAAAGAAATTAAGACTTCATTATAAGTTTTATGAATTTCACACAATATATTTTAGTGATTCATATTAATTTGTAATAATTATATACTTCCAAGAAAATAAAAAGTGTCTAGGAGCATGGCTACCATTGGTGTCAATAATAGGTTCAACTATTGTAGTCTTGTTAAGGATTCTATTGTAGTCCATTAAACATTTGCAGTGAGGCCAATCATCATAAGATAAAGGATGTTCTTGACAGCCTACCATAAAGTTTCCTTCTTCCTTCTATGGTTAGGGCATCCGGATTTTGATTAGATCTTCAAATTTTTAGATAGACTTTATCATGGTAGGTAAGAAACTAGATTTAAGAATTGCAAAGAATAGTGGTCTAGTACACCTTGGAATGAAGGACAAGATATATTGCTACAAAGAAGAAGAATAATTGTGGAAGAGTATATTAAATGTATTGTAAGATATGATTATTGGAAATTAAAATAGTGTTGGGATGTTTTTGAAGTGAGTTTTACATCACTATAATGAATATAGGCTTGTAGATACAAGGCCTCAATATTCATTGGAGACTAAATGAGGTAATATGAAATTTAATGTAAGTAAGTAGATCACTATTTACATACAAGTGTAAAAATTGTGCAACTGTAATACAAGTGTGGCTAATACCTTCAACTGTGCATATAATTTGTATAAGCAAAAGAGTAAGAGGGGGAATTCTTTTGGATATAAGCATTACTGAATTTTTAAAAAAGAACATAAAAAATGAGCTAATAGATGGTTGCAAACAAAGCCTCTAATTCTAAAGACAAAGGCACCTAAAGAATGTGCCTTGGAAAATGATTGTATTGATGGAATGAAAAAAAAATGTAAGCCAAGAAAGTGAGATGGGATCAAAATAAAGGAATGCGGAAATTCCAAAAGTAGAGAGGATATTTAAAGATTAGCTAAGGAGAAAAAAAAGTAGCCAAAGATGACCAATTGTGATCAATGTAGAGAGAAGGGAAGTTGTATATATAAAGGCTAGCCACAAACAAGATGGCAAAAGCAAAAATATTGAAGACAATAGATCTAGCTGACTAAAATTTGATCTTCTTTATATCCATAGATAACATTGCCTTGAAAGATCTCAAGGCTAAGTTGTATTTTTAATTGAAGAGATTAAAAGAATTTAAAAAATAAAAAATAATAGAGATTAGCTAAGGAAGAAGAAAATAAAATCCAATTTCATGCAAATTGAGTTAAAAAGTGCATAGTTAAAGAGGTAATTATAGTAAAAGAACCAAGGTAATGAAGAGATGATGTGAATACAATTTTAGCAGAAGAATAAGAGACATAGTACTTTGTTAAAAATATAACTGTAGAGAAGGAATAGAAGTGGTGGTACTTTGTTAAGAATGTAGTTCTATAGAAGGAATAAAGATGACAAAGTGCTACAACAAGTTCAATAGCAAAAAAATGTATTTTTTAGTACTTTGCCTTGGTATTAGTTACAATTGCTATGATGGAGGAATAAAAAGAACAACAAAGTGCTACAATAAAAGAGTAATTTTTTTAGTACTTTACTTCAATATAAATTGTAGGAAGATGGACAAGAGAGGTATTACTTTGTTGCAAATGTAAAGCAAGCTGCTACAACAGAGCTGTAGAAGAGGCGGCACTTTGGTACAAATGTTACAATAATTACTACATTAGAAGAGCAATACTTTGCATCAAAGGCATCAAGACACTTAGGTCCAAATATTATAATAGATATTACAGTAAAGAAGTAAGAAGAGTAGAATTAAGATAA